CTTAGACGAAGGGAAGACATTGTCATTACAAAACCCGACAAAGGATCTGGCGTAGTAGTAATGGACAAGACAGAGTACATCCGTCTACTAAGTGATGCTTCCATCAAAGACACAACGAAGTTCACCCCTATCAACACAGAAAGACCAAAAACACGCGGCCGGCCTCCTAAACACTACCATCCCTTACTACAAAAAGAAAAACAGCTGGAGTCCGTCGTCAGAAAAATCCTGCCAAAGCCGATTGCTGACACAGTTTGTCGCAAAGGTTCCCGGCTTGCTCACCTTTATGGTCTTCCAAAGACTCACAAACAGCAACTATCAATGCGACCGATACTATCATCGACTGGGACCTACAACTTCGCCCTGGCCAAGTGGCTTGAAGAGAAGCTTAAGCCCCTTTCATTAAATCAGCACACTATCTGCGATATCTTCTCCTTCGCCGAAGTGATAAGGGAAACACCACTCAACCCGAATGACATTCTCGTGTCGTATGACGTATGTGCTTTATTTACCAACGTGCCACTCGACGAGACTATTGAGATCATCGCTGAAAAAGCCTTTAAAAACAACTGGTTTAATGAAACGCATGGTCTCAACCTCACAAAGACAGGTCTTACCGAACTTTTAAGAATAGCAACCAAAGATCAGCTATTTCAGTTCGACGGTCAACTTTACGAGCAGGTGGACGGTGTGGCCATGGGCTCGCCCCTGGGACCCCTTATGGCAAACGTTTTCCTGTGCTCCATTGAAGAACAACTGGATCGCAACAACAAGTTACCAAGTTTCTACAAAAGGTACGTCGATGACACATTAGCCACGATGCCAAATATTCAAGCCGCAACAGCCTTCCTTTCAACATTGAACGAATGCCATCCTGCCATACAGTTCACAATGGAAATTGCTGAAAACAACAAGCTTCCATTCCTCGGTATGATGATTGAGAAAAACGGTTGCCACCTGACAACAAGCGTATATCATAAACCAACTGATACAGGACTGCTCTTACATTACCAGAGCCATGTCGATCAGCGTTACAAAAGATCTCTGCTGAATACAATGCTGAACCGAGCTTACCGCCTGTCATCAACGAAAGAATCTTTTACGAAGGAATGCCAGCATCTCAAGCGGATGTTTACTAAGCTTAAGTACCCAGTGAAACTCATCAACTCAGCTATCGCCTGGTACACGAGTTCTACGATCCAAAGCCGTCACGAAACCCCAACTGAACTTGACGCGGCTACACAAAAACCTGTCAGAATAACTTTACCATTTAAAGACCAAAAATCGGCCGACACAGTAAGACATCAGCTGAAAGATCTTGGCCGGAAAATCGGAACTGACCTACAACCAGTTTTCACGAGTCGTAAGATCGAGGGAAAGCTCAAGATACAAGAAGAGAAGCCCGCTTTAATTAACCACCAATGCGTTGTTTACACTTTTAAATGTGATTCGTGCGATGCGGATTATATCGGTTATACCACACGCCATCTTCATCAACGCATAGAAGAACATAAAGCCTCTGTCATTGGCAAGCATCTGAAAGAAGCCCACAGTGTAGCGTCCACTAGCCTAGAGGAAATGTTTTCCGTTCTCAAGAAATGCCGCGGAAAAATGGACTGCCTAATTCACGAAATGCTATTCATTCGCGAACAAAAACCAAAGCTAAACACGCAGTCTGACTCAATACGTGCAAAAGTATTTATTTAAACATATACTGCACGATCTGACATGCTAAACACCAATAACAATGAACGCTCATTATTCTAATGAAGTTATCACATTTTATTTGTATATAATCTCTGAGCTACAATTTTACATCAGTTTTAACATTTTACTTGATAATGAGGTCATGCAGACTTCGAAACGTCGTAGTTTTTTACCGTTAATTTTTATTATCAATTATATTGTAACTGCATATTTCCTCAGTTCTGTTGCAACAGAATTCAAATGTGTAAATAAAATTTTCTTGTGAATTACTACATCATGGTGTTCTAGATATATTTCAAGATGTTCGCTAGCTCGAACTGATGCGTTCATTCCTTCGTCTTGCATCAATAATCTAACTCATAAAACAGTCACGCGAGGCTGTTAAACTTTAACTCAAGGTATTAGATAGATAGAAAATCGAAAAAAACTGTGCACTTTTCAGAATCTTTTGACGGATTGTTTTAGAAATTTCTGGCGGTTTCTCAATGGTAAACTAACCTGTAATATCGAAAACGAATGTTTGCATACGTGTCAGGAACTTCAATTTTCCAGCACTTGGTCTCATTCACGCCATAATTGCCTGACGTGGGATGTATGAGGTTACCACTAGGTGCTGTGATGTTTGTTATACCATCGGGACAAACTGTCACAAAGAAATGTGGAAACAGCAAATTATTCCCACCGAGTTTTCTCACTAATCCTTGTGTGTTCTTTCTTCATTTTCTTCAGCAGTTTCAACAAGCCCACTGCCTTGTCAAGGAAAGAAATTTTCTCTATACAGATTGAAAAAAAATCCTTCACAAATAAGTGAATTCCTATAGCTCGCCTCTTATATGAGACACAAATATTCCCCTGACCTATTTGGGCACGCACGAGTGACTCACGCTTGAACGTACTCAGCGGACCGTTCAAAACAAGTGGTTACCGCAGCTAGCCAAGAACGAGTCAAGAACATTCTGTGAAGCCAAAAGGCCATGGAGGTGTACGTGTAGTGCTTTTAAATATACTTGCCATTTTGCTGATTTTGTGACTTAACAGTTACCACCACCCCAGGAAAATCCTTACCCTTTCCAGCATCGGTTGATTGGGAAAATTCAGTGGTGGAGATGTTTTGAATATTAAAGTGTTCTCCTCCGAAGCATTTACTGACAAACTCTTTAACACATAACGAGAGTTATGTTGAGATTGGTTTGCGCACAGAACTTACTTGAATCACATGTTCCTCCTCTTAGGAAGAGCGCCAGAACTGCAACAGGAAAAAACAGTAGTGACATTAAAAACAATATTACCGCAACGGCTGGAGGGCATGAAACACTTTTTCTGTCTGCTTTTTACAACTCGTGCAACAAAATGAAAGACGGTAAATTGGGAATAAGAAATCGTTCAGTTGTCCACTTGGAAGAAATAACAACGAATAAGATGAAGAAGTAAATAGTTTTCCATTTACTTTTGCATTAAATCCAGTTCAATATATATTATTGCTGGCTCTGATACTTGGTAATTTTTTAGGACAAAAGGAGAAATAAGATGAAACTCGAGATATTTAGCGAGATATAGTCGTGTTATCTTTTTATCGCCGTAAGAATTTTTTCTAAATTTACTAGAGATTCATGTATGGTTGATGGAGCCGCGTCAATTCCTTTCCGTGCGTTATGGATTCCTTGGCAACCGAAAAGCACACCACAACTCGAAAGCCACATTGACAAAAATCAAACTACCTTAACGCTTAGAAATAAATAAGACCATAAAATTCAGGTTTCCTTTTTCATCTTTTGCATAGCTAGAGACAATTTCCCTAAAATAATAATAAAAAAATTGGTAAAGGGGCGCTTTTCTGTTTATACGTTCGAAATAGTGAATCGAGATGGATTTGTAGTCAGTTGAAGGAGTCAGGCTGTGATCTAGCTTGAAAATTTTAATGCAATTGTGTCAGCGAATATTTTCAAGAAACCACGGCTGAGTTTATTATCCCCCGAAATCGATTCAAATTTGAAGCAACGACCAGCAGCGCTCTAACTTCGATGTTTTCTCTTTCGACGATCACGAAGCTATGGCTTACTTGGCGTGACTGTTACCTATAACCAATGTTTTTTCAGATCGCGCGGATAAGGAAATTTGTGACCCATTTTATGTACTTACCAAGAGCTTTCGAAAGCAAGACGAATTGTGTTCGATGCATGTTAACTATTTCCTTGTACTCTCTTTTCTTCCGTTGGATACAATCGTCAGATCACCGTTGCCAACTTTCCATATAAACCGATATATTGTCGAGTATCTTTAAGAAAGCAATTGGACCCCCTACTTCAAAGTTTGCTTGGTTTCCAAGGAAACGTCAAGCCACAAGGCTCTTGAGAAGATCAATTGAAATTTCAATTATAGACTCATAGCAAGCCAGAATATAATTAATTTTATTTTGAAACATAGTTCGAAAGCGACTAAAAACGTCTTCTCCTCAATGATCAGCTTTCGCTTTGTTATGGAGCTCCGCTACAACAGACGTTCAGTGAGAACGCAATACACCTGCGAGAAAGCCAATTTTACCTGCCGACTATTTAAATGTGCCCTCCAGATTGAAATGCTCGCAGCCTTTCGTTCCCCGAAGCAGAGAAGAAATGAAATTAAAAGCGGCTAAGCATACTGTGTCTGATTTTGGTATCTTGGTTTTTCGAATTGCTTCAATATGAAAACATATCTCTTCGTCCATATGATCATAAAATGTAAATAGTGGTAATTAGATATGCACGGTTTTCAATTAGCAAAAAAGAAAAAAGGAAGGAAATTAAAAAAGCGAAACCCGGCCTAATTATTAAATTCTGCTGTTAATTATGCATACTAGAAAACAGCAGGGGAGAAAACTTAGACCTGCACTAAAAAAAAATTATAGCCTTCAATTTGAATTGCCATTGTTCTGGATTCACTAGCCTCTCATACATGTGAGAATCCTTTTGTGTTTCCTCGTGCAGACGAGGCTAGTAAGTCCAGAACAATGGCAATTCAAATTGGACGCCATATTTTGACTCGGTGTAAAGGGCCTGTTATTTATACGGGGCCTAACCCAAACCGCCGTTTCACGGAAGCAGTGGGCCGTACGTTTTCTCTATAAGAAGTTTGTTTTCATTGAATAAAGGTCCTTCCACTGATAGCTTTCGGCCGCTCTTGACACTGTTCACAAAAATAAATGTTCAGATAAATGATTTAGTTGAATTCAAGATAGTTTGGAACGTCCTTAATGTTTCATCACTGAGAACAAGAGAAGACATTTTCTTCAACAGTTCTTAAGTTCTGTCACGATC